TTGTTGTTGTTTTTTTTAATCTAATTATCCATAAACATTTATTAGTTTTTGTATTCCGGTAAAACTGTCGCTCCCGTTATGTGAGCAGCGCAGTCAGATAAAGATCAGGTTTGGTAGGTTTAGATCATTTTTAAAACTAAATTACAACAGTATTTGTAATAAAAGTTGTGTTTATTTATTTATTTACTTGATATATATATTGAACTTTCTTGCTTTGTGATCGATAGATTTTCCACTCTTAAACATAAGGTTCTGAGTTACCCTAATTGCTCAGATTAAACAAGACATAAATGGTAAGGTTTATGGTTGTTATTTTATTTGCTCCTTATAGTCACACCATTAGTTGTGATTGTCATAATGCACTGTTCATTGTTGGTCCAGCAAGAAGTGCAGCTAGTGCCACTGTTAAACTGATAAAACCCCATTTGATAGATGGAAACAATCAAGAGTGCAATACAGTCTGTATTCCTGTTGTAATCCTGTAGGTTTCGACCCTAAAGGCCACTCAAGAATGTATGAGCCGTAGCATTCTGGGAGGTTTAAAGTACTTTGTGAACTATATCATCAGACTCAGCAATGAGCTAACAGCGCCTACTTACTTGCATGAAGCCTCCACAGTGACGCACAAGCTGTGTGGTCCCCAGGACAGGACTGTTGTAACAGCATGTTAAAGAGACAGCAGTGGGTGGGCAAACATAAAAATGTGGACGAGATAACCTAACACAAGTTATGGAGAGCTGTATGGGGGAGTCTTCATGTTAAACTTGTTGAGAAACAGCCTCAAATGATTTGTTCTGCCTCAGCTCCCCTCTCCCTTTCTGCTGGTAGCAATCTTCGTCCCACATACGTATAAAACCTTAACTCCTCAGCTACAGTTATTTTACACCCCGTTACTAAGATGGCAAAGATGCTGTACTGTAACATGCTTATGATAATGTGCTCAGCAGTTTGATGTCTCACAAGAAAGGAGGCTAACACGGCCAACATCGAAGGCAGTTAATGTTAAAAAAAAAGTGTAGAGTAATATAAAATACAGTTGGGTAGCCGAAACCATTATAGTCACATACACTAAAAAAAGTCATAGCACTAAAAAAAACAAAATGTAATAGTAAAGAAAAAAGAGAACACCAGAAATAGAGCTTTATAGTAAAAACAGATTCATAACAATGCTAAAGTTCGAATGATCAGAAGTAACATGTTCTGATTGCCCTGTAGCTTGTTTCACTATAGAGAACCACATTTACAGGTAAAAGAGTAAAGCCTGGTTGCCAGATATCTTGCACTGCACTGTAATACGTTGTCTTTATGAATGAGTAAATATTGTTTGAAATATCAATGTGTATTTGTAGCACTAGCTGAAATGTGACTGTCTCACAGTGTTTCTGACAGTATTTCTACTTGGCTATTAGCTAGCCTGTGCAGCAGTCACACTACCACTACCTGACATGATAAAGATAGAGTGAATGGGAGGTGACAAGTTGAGACAACCAGTTGTATTTGTGCTGTAGCTACCCACTGGCGTCAATCAGAAGTGAGTCATTCAGAAACTTTTTATTTTTGTAGGTGGGGTGGTTGTCAGATTTTGTTGAACTGGGGATAGCAGATGTGTTTTGAAGGATGAGAACTGCAGTTCAGGCCATAAATATCATTGGCCTAGATGGGCTAGGTGGACATGTTTCCACTTGAGTAACAAACTGGACTGGTTATATTTGTCTAATGTTAGTATTTGCTCCACTAAGAAATGGAACAAATACCAATGTATATGTAAAAAAATATAAAGAGTTAGACATTCATGAAGTGCCTTGAGCAGCTGGTCAGAAAACACATCTGCTGATCCCCGACATCCTGGACCCTCTTCAATTTGCCCACAGAAGGAGCAGAGTCATGGACGACACAGTCGCCTTGGCAACACACACTGCTCCACCCATCTGGAAAACGGGAACACCCTTCCTCCTCGCTCACTGAAAACACAGTGTGCGATTTCTTAGTGTACTCTTGTGCTCCTTTTTCACTTCCAAGAACATCATCATTAAGTTTGCAGGCAATAGGACTGTTGTAGGCCTTATTGCAGACAATGATGAGACAGCCGACAAAGCTAAACAGGCCAACAACCTTTCTCTCACATCAGCAGAACAATGGAGATGATAGTGAACTATCATCCAGAAGAGAACACTGGCTCATCCATATTAGCTATGCTAACATTGAAGTGGTAGGCACTTTCAACTTACTCAGTGTGAACATTACTGAGAATCTATCCTGGAACCTTCACATGGACATCACGGACAGAAAGGCCCGTCAGTGCTCATACTTTCTGAGGACACTTAGTTTTACAAGACACTATCTCCTGAATCTTCCACAGAAGCACGATCGACAGCCTGGTGACAGGCTGTATGACAGTTTTGGAATGGAAGTTGCTTGCTAAAAGCTGGAAATCACGACAGAGATTGGGGCAGCCATCAGAGATCGTCACTGCCAAGAGCTATCCCGCCATTAAAAAGATCTGCCTGATGTCTGTGTAAGGCCGACAGAATTATCAAGGATCATAGCCATCCAGAAAACCAGCTGTTCTCCTTGTCCATGCATTGGTGAATTACTGCAGTACAATATGTAACAGTATAATTTAATCGGTCACTGGTACTGCTGTTTATAACTCTCAGTTTACCCATGTGCAATAATTCTCCATACTCCTAATCTAATTCTCCCAAGAACCTCAGTATCCATGTTGCATCTGTAAGTCTTCTCCTAGCAAGATTGCTGGTTCCTGCTGTATCTTTTACAATAATCTGAACTACAACTCAAGGATGGTGTTTTAGAGCTGCAGCAATGAATAAACCTAATTTATTAAACGCAAACAGGTAACTCACATTGATGAATCCAGAGATAATGACTTGATTCTTCAGTTCATGTTTGATTTAAAAAACTTTTTGGCACTTTTAAATTCATTGGGGATTTAAAGCCACGACTTTTAGTTTTAGTTCCCATTCTCTTTAATTTAATTTTCAGATACAGCAGGCAGCAGTCGTCAATTACTCCTTATGTAGATTTCTCATAAAAAATGTAATCACATTCCCTCACTAATGATTCAGCAGCAGAAGTGATTTGTTACATTACATGTTTGACTCAGAACAACTTCATCAAAGGTGCCCTTAAACAACTTCAAAGACTTCACACCCACTTGCCTCATCTTCTGTATTTAACACTTGAAGGAAAGAAAACAAGGTATTTTGGTTTTAATAAGAAGTCTGTACAGTCTGGAATCAGAATGTTTACTAAACACAAATTCCTTAGTTCCAGTGACTGCACAAAGCAATTAAGAAGTCCCATCCTAAGTGTGAAGACGTGCGTTCACACACCGACCCGCTCAAAACCCACATGACTCCATAAGCTCTTACCAGCAAAGCCTTTATTATGTTACTGACATGGACATGGACAGCTGGAGACACAGCGGCCAAGTAGTCATTCCTGTTATACTTCTTTGAAGTCCACTTGAAATCCGCCACCTGGGGTGCGTGCGTAGTTGGTGCATTGAAATGTAAATTCTTCGCAGATGAGCGTGTGTGGTCACAAAAATATTGCTAGGCACCTGGATGTCAGCATAGACCCCTGTGCTCAGTGTTTGATGATGAAATTAACGTCGCTCGCACCTCAGCGGACTCACATAATCAATGCATAAGAAATGAGAAAACTTAGTAGTTGCCGTTCTTACCTCATTTACATGAACCATAGAGACCACTGAAGTAAACCTTTTACTAATGTAGTGTACAAATTAACGCGGTATCAGTAATCAAACTGTATGTAGCTTATCACATTGTCGATGCAAGATCATAGTCAGTATGATTGTAGGTAATACAGGCAGCCACAAGCCAAATGGAAAAACTAATGAGCATTTAGGAGCTAAAGTGCCTGAGTTTCCCTTAATGATGCAGTACAGACCAAAATAGGACAAAAAGAATTGGGCTTTTAGTGGTCAGAGGGCTGGAAACAGCTGCTGGGAATGATTGCTGTTGGGTTCCTATATGCTTTTTCTTTCTCCAATTCTGGATCATAGGAGGGCCGGATACAAGCTATCATATGGTGAGAGGCTGCTAGTCTAAGCCGAAGATTAAAACCAAAAGAAATTCATGCTCCGATTCATGCCTGCGTTTATTTGGATGTTAGCACCTCCAGAACAACTGCAACATCCACACAGAAGGGTGGTGGATTTGTACCCAAAGAAGAGCTAAGCCACAGCCAAGGAATGGATTAATATGTGCTAAATCAACAATAATTACGAACTCATTACTTTTAAAATTCTAAATATATATGGAAATGAGAGCAGTCACAATAGTTGTAGGTTTTTTAACCCTGCGAAGCCTCGATTTGTGGCTAGTAACTGTATCTATGCAGTATAAGTTACAGCCAAACAAATGAAGGCTCTGTACATTAAAGTCCTTAACCACCGAGCCCAAGTTCATCACATGTTAGGTTTTAAAAGCAACCGGTGAAATAAGTTAAATACTAATGAGACTTCTTATTAAAAAGAAAGGGTAATGATATGGTTATTTCTAGCTCAACTGGGAGCTTGATTCATAATAAAATGGGCAATTTCACCTAAGTCCCCCCTCAGGGTAACTTGTAAACTAAAGAGGGATTTGATGTGAAGGGTATGAGAGCTGTGGTGGTGTGTTATCAGCTGAGTAATTTGCTCTTGTACAAACATGAATTACTGTTATCTAAGTGCCCCCTGACAGCCGATTGGCTCCTCATTAGGCCTGTGTGAAATGAGATTAGCAATGAGACTCTAAATTATGATCCAATCCCAGAACACATAATCTCTCACATGCATATACCCTTTGTGTGTCTCTCCACTTCATCTATTTCTGCCATCCTTTTTTTTTTTTAACTTCATTGCTTTCTGTATCTTCCCCTGCGGCTGGTCATTCCTCGTCTTAGCAGCTCTCCTCTCTTGACCTCTTACCTCTTCTCTCTTTTTTTTCCTGCACCACCGACCTCACTCTCAGAGTGTAACTGCAGTGGGAGATCAGACCAATGTGTGTTTGACATGGAACAGTACCGGAGCACTGGCAGTGGGGGGCGATGTGTGAGCTGCAGAGACAACACCGATGGGCCCCACTGTGAGCGCTGCAGAAATGGCTACTACCGGAAATCTACAGAAGATCCCTGCCTACCCTGCAACTGCAATGTCAACGGTAAACTGCAGACACAAAAATCTCAGTTGTTTTGATAATAACTGAAGCCCTAATTATGATCCATGCCAATGTCATTACTTGCTACTTTTGTTTTCTCCTGCATGAGAAAATGTAATTATGTTTAAATTGGAATGCCACACTGGCACAAAAAAGCACCATATGCAAGCTTTAGCTACAAATGAATGGGACTCATAGGATTAATTTTAAAATTTTATGGCCAATGTTTTTAAAAAATTAATGGCACTGCATTAATATTTTCTACGTCCCATCAGCTCACCAAACTTGCCTAGGAGTAGAATCTTTTTCAATTTATAATTCATTCAATCTCATCTTAGTTATCATTGCCTTAGCTTCCACGATGATCATTAAGGAAATCCATGGATTTACTCACCCATGCGGGTGTAAATTGATCCAGTTGACTCACTGAACATTATCAATGAAAAGACTCATTGCTCATTAAGCAAGGCCTAACTTTAGGTGGAGGAGCATTAGTGGTGGTGGAGCACAAATTATGTTTGTGCTTCACCCATCATCAGAGAATGAGAGAGAAAAGTGAACAAAAAACATTAACTATCTTTTCCTCTTCATATAAATAGTGTGCGGTGAAGGCACAGAGCTGTTGGAGTCCATTATATTGATCAAAGGTTATAGCAGACTCCATCAGGCTTCCCTTTTTCTCTTCTTTCTGCCCCAGATGGCCTTTTTTCTCCATTAACTAAAGCTTCACTATATCGGCTACAGTGTAGAAGCAAGGTTATATACTTCTCTTCCAGGAACAGAAATTCAAAACAAATGTTCATTATTTATAGATAGAAAGATAGATAGATATTTATAGAAAATACTCATAATTCTTGTCCAACACTATGATTACATTTTTCTTTATTTGAACCCTTCCAGGATCTGTGAGTCTACAATGTGATGTAGAAGGAAGGTGTGCTTGTCGGGAAGGTGTGACAGGAGAAAAGTGTAACACATGCCAGGCTGGCTTTCACTCGATAGGCCCCGGTGGCTGCAGGTGAGCAACATACATATAGTAATATATACAGTATACATGCATTCATTTTATGTTAGTGAACACAAGGCTCACTGACATTACATTTCATACAGCTTTCCTGTTTTATAGATGTGACACCTAACTTCCCAAAGCCTGAATTTATCAAACTGCAAAGCAGGACAAAAGGATTCAAATTTCTCGACGTGACACTACTGTGAATTAGTGACCTTATCAGCAAGTACCAGGATGTGCCAAACACAATGTCAAACTGCTAACAAGCATTGTAACAAGCAAGCCACCAAGTGCAGTGTTATTTTCCACATGGATAAAATTCATTTCAGTTTTATTAAGCTTTTTATTTCAGGGCGTCACGTATATTCATCATGCACAATATTAGTTACGCCAATGTGATTTTTTTGCTTTATGTATGTTCGGAGTCCACTGAATTACTTCATGGTTATCCCCTTTTATGGAAGTGTGCAGAAGTTGTCTGACTTCTATCAAGAAAACCTCATATTATTTTTGTCTACATTACACAAATGCATTGTTTCCTGTCTAACTATATTTTAAAGTTTTGTTTTCAAAGTATCTTTTACTATTTTTGTTCAGTTTCACTCTTCCCATTAGTGCCCTATTCAGCCACCACAAGCAGTTATATCCAGCACAGAAGCTCAGATAAATCCATGGCACACAACCTACTAAATACCAAACTGTGAACAAACCAACATGTTCTAAACCCCAACTCATCACACAGTGACACAAGTCAAAAAATCTTTTTCACGTTTATCAGAAGACAGCAAGCATCAGTGTATTTTGTAAGAAGCTGAGATATATTATGTGGTGCCGGGCCATTTAGTGCCCTGTATGTAAATCCTAAAATCTACTGAAAGCCAGTGTAAAGACTATCTTAGCATGCTTGCTAGAATGTGTTAATAGTCTGGCTGCAGAATTTTGTACTGTATAGCTTGGAAGCACAAAAGACATGGTTTGTCCAAGCTGGTCAACACACATGATAAATGCAATGACACAAATGCTTGAAAAAAATTTTTATAGTTCAGTTGAGTAGACCATATGTCGCAAATTAGGAATGTTACTTAAATGAAAGAATCAGGAAAGAAGCAACGATTTTATATGCAAGTCAAACAATCAAATATTACACCATGATTTCAAATGCTGGACTTGACCAAAGAGAAGTAAGAGCCTGACTGATTTTAGGAAATAGTTCAGGAGGAGCTATAATCATCTATCAGTCTTGTTGATATTTAAAGTAAGTTCATTATCAGAGAGCCAATCACTAACCTGGATTAAACACTGGACTAGAGTGCTATGGACTAGAGCCTATTCAGATGATGAGGCTTAAAAGATATATACAGCTGAATGTCATCGGCATAGAAACAATAAGAAACTTCATTAAAATTTAGGTAATAAATTACTTTAATTTTATTTATTTTAGATACCAAATATATTAGCACCAAAACTAAAAAATGCTAAAGGGATGTTTTCACAATATAAAGACAACAAGTCCAAGCATCACTCTGTGGCGAATAAGGAGTTAGACTCAGTTGGACACACAGTTAGTGAGTAGGTGGTGGACACAACTGCATTTAAGAAACAGATTTTCTTTTAGAACTGATGGAGAACAAAGAACTCACTGAAGAAATTTGTAAGATTTTTAGTTAAATGAAACAAAACATTTTTTCATGTTTAGTACACAGTAAATATAACTAGTAGAAACACAAAGTCCTAAGACATTTCGCTCAGTTTGCTATCGACTTAGAATGCCAGATCTACTGTTTCTGCTCACCCTTTCTCAACCTCCTAAGACCCAAACTCTTTCACGGCATGCATTTTTAATTTATCTTTGATATTTGGGCTGATTGGGACCTGATGAATGTAAAAACAAAGAATTACCAGATTTTTTTAACCTAATTTTTGTTTTAAAGAAAAATGAGAGCCACATATGAGGATATTTGTTTAAAATTTCGATAGAACAGTAGCAGTATAATGTCCTCGTAAGTAGATATCAGGCCCTTGAAGAGCAAATTTGAGTATTTTTGTCTAAATAATCCAAAAGGTGATGTCCACATATGTGGACGCAGGTCCTAGGAGGTTAAAATAAGTTTGAATCAATTCCTTATTTTATTTGCTTATAACATGAAAATACATTGCCATAGGTCTATATCAACAGCTGAAATTTTTTTTAACTTCATTTCCTCCTACTCAACTTTAAATAATACATTTCCAAAGAAATGTTACCAGTATCATCAACTTTAAAAGGGAAAAGAAAAAGGCTGGTCTAATGTCTTGCCAAGTCATTGCAAACTTTTTGCATGAATTCCCTCCTACCGCATATGGTCGTTGTTCAGATTGGTGAGCCAGCAGTCCTGAATAGCAGAAACGAAAGATCTGGTGTTTGAAGTCCCCTTAGAACCGAGCAAGAGATCATGCAGTCTTCTTCATGTTGCCATGGTGACTGAATCCAGCCTTGCTGCCTTCAAAATCTTCAGAGAACAGCTTGAGTTGCAGCTAAAGCCAAGGAGAAACTTAGCCTGTAAAACTTTCTACTTTTCTCCAAAGGTAGTTGAGTGTCTTTATGTAGTTGGTAGCATTGATCTGGTTTTATCCAAATTCATCAATTCATGATTGACTCAAACATTTCCTCTTCTTTTTTTAACTGCCAGCAACTAGTTGACAATGAAGAGTTGTTCATGATAAATAAATAATTTAATAATTACACTTTTACTCTTTATTGATCATGATTTGTTTAGCTTTAATGTGTTAACTGTATGCATTACTAATGCATTAAGTAAAATATTATTATAATGTGTTTTACTAAGCTCTGATTTTAAGTTTCAGTATACTAGAGCTCATTGGGTCAGACCGAGTTTAAGATACAGACTTGCTTTCAACCTGTTTACTGGGAGTGGGTTCAGTCAGACTTTTTTTCCAACCTTTATTGGAACGTGAAGATGCACTGACCAGCTGCATACATTTTTATGATGAAAAGCGCATTTCAACTTTGTCTGAACTGAGAGCCTCATACTAAGTATGAGTGCACATGAGCCTGCATGTAAATTTATAGGAAGGTGTATCTATGTGTGTGTGTGCACAACTGTGTGTTTGTGTGTGTAGGTGCGTCTGTGTGTGTGTGTGTTGTATGTTGTAAAATTCATATTCATAAGAAGTCTATCCGAGCTCTCCCTGACCCCCTTCTATCTGCCGGGGGAATGCTAAGTTGCGATAGTGTTGAAAGGCATATCAATGAATGTTTGGTGTTAATATTATTTCTTCTACCTGGATACTATGACAACAGGCTGTGGGATGACTGTTAAGCAAAAGAATAGATATTGAGCTTTAGCCTCATTCATTTGACTTTATAGCTTCTACAGTAAGCATTTCTTTATGAAAAATTAAGCTATGCCTCAAAATGCTAAATTTAAACAGAATAGCTTCCCCAGTTCTACAGAACTTTTTAACACCATTCAGCTATTTGTTTTGGTTATCTATAACCGATAAAGCTAATGCAAACAAGAACTGATAAAGCCACTGTAAAGCAAAAGCAGTGCAAATATCAGCTAAATTAGAGGGAAATTTAAAGGAATAGATATTTTCCCCAAGAGCTGGTGGAGACCAAACTAGAGCTTAAAGCAAATGATCCAGATAGCCATTTGTGTAGGTTGTATCTCAGCTAACAAAAAGTCTGTAAATGCAGGTTTAAAAGTAGGCTTGATCAAAAGAATATTAAACCTCCCTTTCTAAAGATTACATACCAAAACGGTACATTAATATCTGCAATTGTTTCCCTTAGATGATATTGACATGCACAAACACAAACACACACACTCACACGAACAAACACACAGCACTTTCTCTCATTCGTGCTGAAAACTCAGGCTATTGAGTTGATGCGTGAATTACCCAGACCACTAGAGCAGAAACAACTAGAGGCTGCTTGCCTTGGGATAATTGAGTTATTGTAATTGCACCTCATTAAAAATAGATCCTGTGTTTCAATCTCAAACAAAAAGTAACCAGTCAATAAATGTGATCAAACAAAATCTGACAAAAATCCAACACGCTGCTGATCCATATACTTACACTTACTTGCTTTTTAATTGAGGTCGTTTTACGCAGCCTTCAAATTTCAGATTTGGGTGTTGATGATTTGCTATGAAGAACATTTTGTACTTTTGAAAATGACTTTGTGGTGATGGCAGAAACACTGTGAAGGCCCAGGTTCAAGTTTTAAGACAAGAACCCGTGTTGTTAATATCTACTTGAGCGTGACACCCTGTGGTTTTTCAGAGCTGAACATCTGCTGTCTTGAAAGTGAGGAAACCGACATCAGGGATGTCT